AATTTTTTTAAAATGTAGGCCTCCGTTTCCACGCCTTACTATTCCTCCCAACGTGGCGATTGCGCATCAGCACAATCCTTCGTCGTATCTTCCCCATTTCATTTGATTCATGTTTTCCCAATTTAGGGAGAAGTGTGTGTTGTGAATTATCTCAGCAGTTGTTTCAGGTCAATATTGCCATTCGTTTGCTTCTTATTTATTCCCCTTTTTTTCGTACACTCTATGTGCACTTAAATATAAGCACGTGCAGGCGACCCCATATGTGGACGGTCTACGTATCGAGTTTGTCACTTGGTATTAAGCCTTCCGATGTGTTAATTAAATTTTTTGTCCCAGTTTAATGATTCCCCTTCTGAGTAAGGTCATCATTAATGTTTATTCGCGCATGACCATTTTTTGTTTTTACTCCACCCTCTGAGCGATGATTTTTGGAGGTCCATTTATGAATATTTCCAACACGTTTAAAAAGAGTTATACCACCGGGTCCTCGTTCCACAAAATTTGACGTTCCCTTTCGAGACGTGAATTTCCCTTGTAGGAGGGGCCAAACAGACGTTTCTACGTTCGCACATACGCGCATATTACATTAAGGGAGAACTCTCTTTCCCCTTCAGAAAGAAAAAAAGAAAAAAAAAGACACCTCCGTGAGAACTAACCCGATGCAACCATGTTAAAGGAGAAGCTATTAAAGTTTATGAATTATTACTACTTCATTAAAAATTACTACATCTATCACATCCTCTTCTTGTACACATTTTTTTTAAGGATAACTTATACATACGCAGAAATTACAATATCGCATTTTTTTACCTTTCTGTTGAATAAATATGAAAATACTGAGTCGCAAAAGGAGGAGGAGAATTTTTTTTACTATTTCACTCATTTCTTCAATTTTAACAATAAGAATGATGACAAGTTTTTAAACACCAAATTGTTTGTTGTTGTGTACTTACCAGTGTGTTTAAAGTGCTTCTACACACTTTTCTTCGACTACATCGCATATTATGTGTACATTCGCTACTACTTCAACAGGATAAATAACAACTTCAGGAAAATTTACTATTCCTCTGTGTCGTATGAAAATGGGGCAACTCAAATTGGTGAAAGTTTTTTTCTTAAAAAGGACCAAGTTGGACTCATGCACAGAATCAGTAAAAGAAAAAAAAACTCATATGATGTGTGTGCGAAGCGGCTATCTGACATGTCTCTTTACGAATGCAGGAAATATATGTTACGAAAAAAAAAGGCCTTTTCCCTGTGGCAAAGGAAACAAAATTTAAGGACTAACAGAAACAAACGCAGAAAGAGAACCATAAAAAGGGTTACATATAAAGAAGACACAAATAAGAGACATCCACGCATTAAATTTATTACCTGTAGAAATATTTCTATAAAAAATAAACGCCTAAATAGTGACCAACGCGATGTTCATGGTAATAAGCTGTTCCATAATGTGTTTCAGAATAGGAGGAATGTTTTCTTCAGAAGGAAACAGAGAAAGAGAAATGATCCAGAGGCGGGGGTCGTTTCTTCTGGTAGCTCAACGGAGGAAGGAGCTGAGCGGAAAAAGGATAAGTTCATTTTTAACAAGCCTTATATCAACATGCAGAAGGGGTACAATTTTGTGAATAGTCTCCATCCAGGGAGGAATATTTCAGATGGGACTACAGGTGTCAGTGGAAAACCCAGCATCTACGGTATTAGCCCAAATAGAGAAGACGAACATATGAGCGATCATGTGCACTACGACACTAGCGTCGTGGAGGTAAACGCCTTCTGCGCACAAAACAGCTTGGTAGGAAGCGCAAACGAGGAAAACCTTCACTTGCTCAAATTTAGGTTAGGTAAAATGGGAGATACGCAAAACGACACAGCACCAAACCATTTTCAGAATAACAATTCAGATTATTTCGCGCTGAACGAATCAACCCCCATTGGGCATAACGATGAGAGCGGGAACTACGAAGAAATTCGCTTTGAAAATTTGAGGGGGAATGTGGTGTGCATTTCGAAGACGCATCAGTGTTCTGGTGATATGGAGGATGCTGAAAAGGACCAACAGAGTGAGGAGGGCGAAGACTCTGAACGGAGGGACGACCAAGTGTTGATTTCCCCCTCGAGTGAAGACACAGAGGGATGCAATCCGAAGAGGTACAACCCAAATGGATACCATCCAGAGGGATATCATCAAAAGGGGGGCGGAGTAGATACCCCAAATTACAAAGGGAAGAACATAAAGAAGTCCTATCGCACGTTGCGAGGGAGCCTAAAAATGGACTACCTTTTTAAGGACAGCTGCGAATTAGCAGAAAATAACAACAGGGGGTCGGTAGAAAATAACGATTATTACTATTACAACAAATTTAAAAATTTTAACTACGGAAAGAAGGACAATTCGCTCAGCGTGAGGGAACTGATAAACAACAAAATTAACGCAGAATATTATCATCTAAAATTGAACATACTCATTTTGTCCTGTATAATTATACAGATCTTTAACTCATGTATCTTGATACTAATTTCGAACAACTTTATAAGGAAAAAGGAAAAAATTTTTTTTTTCTGTTTTTTGTATTCCGTACTAGAAAGCATCACCGACGTGATTTCAGAAAATATATTTTTCCTGTGTGGTAAATTTACAAACATATACAAAAAAGAATTCAGCATTAACGCCATCTACGTTATTCAAGTTATCAGCAAAATGATATTGAGCCTCTCAACCATTTTTATTTATTTCGTATATCACATTTTTGTGATACTTTACGAGAATGTGAATATTATGATTATAAACACTTTTATTAAAACGCTGTCTATTTTTGTCCTTTCTTTTATTTTCCTCAAAAATAAGGACAACTTTTTTAATTACCATAATGATGCAACGTTTGCCAGCATGAATTGTGAGAAGCCGGCCGGAGGCACAAGTGGCAAGACCCCTACCTGTGAGGAGAGCGGCTCTGTTAAGATAGACATCAAAGAGGAGGAACTGCGCAAACAAAACGGGGCAGATTCCGTTAGGGATGCCCCATCCGTGGAAGCACAAACCGGCTATGCTGACAAGAAGGGTCCATCAGAAGTGAGTAACAGTGACGATCTACGAAACCATAGGAGCAATTTTAACCAGGGAATATTTAGCAACTACCTCTACAATGATAAATACTATGGGAATTATTTTAACTTTTCGAGGAATAACTACTATGGTGAAAGACTTCTTAGTGACGATATTGTCTCAAAGGGATCGTCGAAGGAAAAAGCAAAATGCGTGAATCCCTGTTTTGTAAAACTAAAATATGTCGCAGAATTTTTAAACCTTTTTAAACTGCTATCAAGAATAAAAAGCTACATTTTTAAGAAGGAAGAAGTGAACTATAGCCACAGTTACACACTGCTAACCGTGCAGGATGCAAAAGGTGATGAGCAAAATTTGGACCCATTTTTTCGAAACAAAAGAGAATACAAAATTAAGATTCCCATTATAGGGAACCTTAAAAAATTATTTAATATCTCTGATAACCCTGGTTGCTATTTGGGTGTGCAAAACGCGGGGATTACAAAATATAACTCCCTAATTGAGCAGGAAATGGAATATTTACGTAAAAGAAAAAAAAAAATACTACAGAGCGGTGGGAAGTACAGGGGACACCCATATAACATAGACAACATGAACAGCTTAAGCAGCTTAAGAAGCTTAAACAGCTTAAACAGCCTAAACAGCGTAAAGCGCGCGAAAAAGAGAAACATCATCGTTAGCTATCCTATCAAGTTACTACTGAGCAATTTGAACTTTTCCAACATTTTTTACATCTGTTTATTGTTAATTATCCCAACATTTGAGAGGATATTCCTAAATTATAAAATTAAAAATATTAAGATAGATTTACACTGCTACTGCTATCTCAATTTTGTGAACTATGTAACGGATCTGATGGGTCTCTACCTTTACATTAGTTACTTTAATGAGGAATCCTACTCCTCCTCTATATTTCTCAGCTCTCTCATCAACATATTCCTGATGACTTTTCGCTTTTTCTTCTTGCACAACCGGTTTAGCCAGATATGGTTGCTGGTAATGTCTATATATGTGGAGATGCCCCATCATACCATCGTCACGCCTTTTTTACATTGCGACGTGGCAGGTGACGTAATATTCCTCTTCTTTTGTTCATTTGCAGTTCCTGGAAACCATACTTAAGTCGCTTCACAAGACGTTCTTTTATATGCCTATTTATATACTAGTCACGAAGGTGCTGGTTACTCCCTTTTGTTCGCAGCTGGGAAGACGCGGGCGCCCATTTCGGCGGATGTATCTACCACAAAGGGGTGCCATTTTGATATTGCCATTTTCTTCCTTCTGGCACGCTCTCGTTGAACACTCCCTGCGCAATTCTTCATCTCAGATGCATTTTTATTTTTCCCCCCTCACAGGTGTACATAAAGAACATTCACAATTTGATGTGCTCCTTCTACTCCAGCATTTTGGACGCCAGTTCCTTCGCCTCTTACTATTTTGAATATCGTAAGCCTGTACCTCGTATTCGCATCGCCATTTTCACATGTGTGCAGTGCCAACGTTTTTGCACATTCCACCCCTTCTGGTTTGCATTTTGGCAACCCTAATTATGACTTCTACTTCACCTCTTCGCAGTTATACTGAGCTATTACAACATTGACGATTCAAGGAATATCTTCATCTTTGTTTATATTATCTTCCTGGTGCTGCATCTTTCATCGCTTGTCGTTATTTCGAAGTTGAAGAAGACGTGAAGGGGGGCCAATCACCGGCAAAATGATGTCTGGCAATTTTTTTTTTTTTCCTTTTTTTTTGTTCTAATTTGATGAGCGATTGGAGCGTAACAAATTTGCCCTGAAGAGGTCTATCACTAATGTGTGGAAAGGTGCTTGTGGTTCTTTTGCGAGGGGTCAAATATGGGAGAGAGGCCGAGTGCGGCCTCCCCCTATTCTCGCATTAGCATACTCGCTTTATGTCAACTTCTCCCCCTTTGCTACTCTCCCATGCGCCCATGCTCATACCTCTTGACCTGCTCATAAAGCATATTATTTTTTTCGATTAAATTTTTTTTCTTGTTAATTTGTTCGAAAAGGATTTTCACGTTTTCCTTGACGTGATATTTTTTAAGTTCATAAATAAATAGGTTAATATAGATAAAAGACAATTTTAAAATTGAATACACATCTAAGTTCTGACTGAACGTTATTAAAACGTTGAGGATGTGTTGTATGTTCTCATCTAGGGAGTTATTTTTTCCAGCCACCTTACGTTCTTGTGTCAGTTCTTCATTAATTTGGGTGTAAAAGTAAATGTACAAACACTGGATTACCACTTCTTTGTTTAGTAGGTATATATAATCTTTAAACAGATTAAGGCAGAACTGGTAAACTTTGTGATGTTCAATTTTGCTATCATTTTTGAGGAGGTCCAAAAGCAAGAAGAGCGTAACAAAGGAGTGGTCCCTTATGCATATCATGAGGTATGTCCTTTGCACCTTTTTCGCTTCCCTTGTGTAGGTCAAATTCTCATCCTCCGTTTTATGTCCCCCTTCATTGGTGCTTCTATCACCTAGGTGTATTACATATTCGTTGTCAAAACTGTTCGTGTCTGCAAAAGGGGTACTTACAGAATGGTCTTGCTTTCCATTTTTATCGCCACTTAAGGTGTACACATTTTTGGCCATAAAAAGAGTGTTCTTTAGACTGGTGCCAAAATTGTACCTCCTTTTGGGACATACTTTTATCTCCTCTATCTGGATAAACTTCCCCAAGAAGGTTTCAAATCTGCAGTAAAAATTTGCGCACTTCTTAAAGTTGTACAGGAGGAACATAAAATATAGGACCTCGTTTAAATCCATAATCTGGCTATTTGAGAAGTAGTTTAGGTAGACCTTCTTAACTCTGGGTAGGAGATCATTTGAGATGCTATCATAAACGGTTGTTACGTTTAACTGAAGGATCGATTCGACCAATTTATTCAGCCTGGGGAGCGTGTTGAACTTGTCCGAGTTGTCCAAAAGGATGTTACTAAGAACTGTGTCTTGCATGAAGAGATTGTACCTTTTTAGGTTTATGCAAATGTTTAGCAAGTTAACGATGTAATCGTATGTTAAGGGGGGGGTGTCCTCTGAATGGACATATTCATAATTCCTTTTTAGCGTCCATTTGAAGAGAAAAATATTTGGTACTTTCTTTTTTAGCATGCTTAGGCATAGGTCATTTAGCTCGTCCAGAGAAAGGCTCCTCAACAGGAGGAGGTTCATTTCAGCGGAGTGCAAATATTTGTCTTTAACCTTTTTGAAAACGCCGTTGCATGCAAAGTCGTTCTTACTTATCAGCTGTTTGTATATGTTTATTATGTGGTTTACTTGGAAGGGGGTCAGACTGCTGGAGGTTTCTTCTTCCTGCGTACATTTGCGGTGGATGTCATCCTTAAGGTTGTTATTGTTCATATTTCCTTCTTCATGCAGCTGCTTCTCCCCATTTTTGTACCAATTTGGGCTATTCCGAGCGGATTTCCCCACACTTTCGGTAATGCACGATATGTGAAAGGAATAAAACGATTCCACGTTATTTTCCCCCTTCTGGGTGGTGGCATCATTGTTGATGACATCATTGTTGGTGGAATCATTGTTGGTGGAATCATTGTTGGTGGAATCATTGTTGGTGGAATCATTGTTGGTGGAATCATTTTTGGTGGCATCCATGTTGGTGGAATCATTTTTGGTGGCATCCATGTTGGTGGCGTGTCTTTTGTGGCCACCTCCCCTGCTATCATAATTTGTGAGGGTGAACACCTCATTTGCTATGTTCTTAATTTCTTCGTCCGTACTTTGCAGAATTAAATACGAAATGTGATTTTTAAAAGTGAACAAGTCGAAATATTGAAAGAAAAAAGAAAATGGAAGGTACGAAAAGTTGTTGTTATATATACAGATGGCCGAGAGGAGAATTACGAACTCTTTATTGTACAGATGCAGGTTGTGCAAAATGTTTTTTTCTATGCTGTTCATTATTTTATCCACACTTCTCCTCATTTGTGAAATTTCCGTGCATATTTTTTTTTCCTCCTTTAATTTTTCAAAATGGCTCAAAAAGATAAAGGACGAATTGAAAATCCTCGTGATGTCGTAAACGTTTTCGCACTTTGAAATGAGTTTATCGATGTGTGGTAATATTTGATTATACAAATTTGTGTATCTGAACTTGGCGTCCCTTTTTATAGCTATGCGGCTGTTCCTCATTTCTTTACAGGGGTCCTCAGGGGGGGACTCCACTTGGGACAGCTTTTCCCCTTCATCTAAACTTCCTCTTTGTGTAGTGAAGCATTTTATCACGTTTAGCTCCTTGGACATAAGACTGCAGAGGAGCATTCCCAAAAGGTGTATATTCAAAAAGGAGCAATTCAGCCACGACTTTATGGCTTCCACGTTCACATATCTGTAATCATTCAGCCTGCACTGTGCAAAAAGAAAATAAATCATATTTTTAACCTGTCCATTGAAGTTTTTCTTATTTATAATAAAATTGTAACGTGTCAGAACTGTGTCCTTGATGGCCAATTTCGTCAGGTCATCTTCATGCAGCATTTGAAGATGCATTTGGTCTATTTTGCAAAGGTAGAGGGCGCTATTTTTAGCGCAGCAGTAGGCATGAAGTATGTTTAATATATTTTTAAAATCGCAAATTTCTGAGCTCTCTTTGTTTGTAAATAAATTAATTACGCTATTTAGGAAGGGGAACCTCCGCAGGACAGTGGCGTAATACAACATCTTGCACAGCAGTGGCAGGTTACGCTCGTTCGTCGGTATGTTTCCGTTTAGCAAATCTTTTTCGAGTTTGAAGAAAACGTTATCAACGAGGCTTTCAATTTTATGAAATGGTCTTTCCATGTGTGGGGGAGCTACAGATGAGGTGCTTCCCTGTTCTGGAACATTTGCCTCAGCTGTAATTCCATTTTTGTCAGTTTCACGCGATAGATTAGTGCACACGGGAAGGGGATTTTTTCCCTCATTATTAGTTGCCCCATTCGGGGCGCTTCTTATTTGTTCAGAGGGGCGTGGCGGTATAGCCCCTGTTGTCACGTGTGCGTCCTTCGCATGCACATCTATGTTTGAACCAGAATGCACGCTATTCACATGTTTAGCACCCACCCTTTTGCGCGCGAAATAGTGCTGACTGTTCAAGCAAATTTTATAGAGGGACCTTACGAGGAGGAACACATTTTCCACTTGAAAGTTCTGAAGATAATGTTTGTTAATGATACGAATTAGTAAGGTGATTATTTTGTCGTTCAGCAAATTTATTTCTGAATATACATAAAGTAGCAGTAGGGAGGTACTGAAATCGATCTTGCTGTGCAGAAAGTGTTGGACGCTCCGATTGTACACATCTATATGGCTATAAAAGGTGCACATGTCAAATAGGATTTTTACAAGGGTGTCATCCGTGAAGTGAATAGGGCTAGGTGATGTGTCCGCCTTATTCGTAGAGTTGTGGCTAAGTCTCTGCTCTCTAGCATGGTTAAAATAAGTTAGTAACTCCTTCTCTATGTGGCTGACCAGAATGTCATTTTTTATTTTCATCATTTTGAAGATCTGACAGAGCATTAAAATTTCTTCACATTTTAGAAGGTTTTTTTTTTTAATTATTAGGTCTAGCAGGAATGATATGTACACGTTATCGCTGAGATTTAATTCAGCGTTTTCTTCCTTCTTCCCATTTGAATTCACAATTTGGTTGATGTTCTGAATGGTGAAGTACAGCAGAATGTTGCATATGTGGTGTGGGGAGTAGTCGGCCAGTTGGGTTCTTGCAGAGTCGGATTTGTGACCTCCATTTGTGTCATCTGTGGGGAAATTTTCTCCATCTTTGTGGCCTTCCCCCTGGGAAGGACAATGCTCCCTTTGCCTCCACGCATCAATTTCGCCCAAGAACTGCCGCACAACATCGTTAACATAGTCATTGCCTACCAATTTGAGTTTGTAGAAGGCGTTAAAAAGGAGGGAATAATTCACAATATCGATATGCAAGCCGTTTTGAACTATAATGTGTAAGAATTTGTTAATCAATTTCATATCTTTAATTTTCAATTTTGCATGCGAATTTAGGATGATTGAAAAGGACTTCACATCGATGAATGTGTAATTATTAATTAAATGGTTGTTGACATATTTAAATAAATAGACAACGTTTTGGTTATTTTCCACTTTACTAATTATGTTGTACAATTTAACAATTTCTTCGAGATGGAATTCTCTCAGTTTTGTTATTGCTACTTCAATAAGACAGTGGAAGGTGCTTTGGTAGGTATTTAACTGCGCATTCTGTATATACAACTTTATTAACAGGACAATCTTGGATGGGTTTAAAAATTTATAAATCATTTCTACTCTCTTGTTAATCTGTTTGTAAATAGTCACATTGGTAATATTCTCCCTTTCTAGTAAGCGGCTATATCTGTACAATTCGATGCAGTTCATATTGTATATATTTTTGTTGACATTCTTATTTTTCTGCACAAACGAGTAGTTTATTTTTGTCAAACGAAGCATACTTTTGTTTCGGAGCAGCTGTTGTGTCCACCTTTTGTTCCCCCTGGCGTTGATTAACGTGTAGCAATCACCGCACAGGCTTTCCGCGACTTTTTTTATCATCCTGAAGTGAGGTAGCCGAGGACAGTTATACTATCATAGGAAAACTGGGATGGCCATTTTGTTAGGCAGAAGGGACCTAAAGGTGGTGGAGGTGGCTCCCTTTCAATCCTCTGAACGAACATTCCAGTTGTGCGTTTACCAAGTGGAGGACTTTCCATGCCACACAAATGCGCTTCTCTATGCTGTGATCCACTTGTTTCTTTAAAACTTAGGAAAGTAATTTTTGGCATATCCCTTCCGTAGCAACAGTCCATAGGAACGGCGTCACGTGGGGGACTTCCAACTTATGAGGTGCAATTGTTTGCGTTATCAATTGGTGATGTTAAAAGAGGAGGAGTTGACGAAAAAAATACCAAGTGGGCAATTCGCCCACGAAGTTGGGCATGCCCTATTAATGCATCTACTTGTGCATATCCATTTGAGGTGAAAACTTTCCCACTTGATGTTATGCCTCATTTGTGATGACCTCGCACGGTGCTAATGAGGATCCCGCAAAAGGTGAACTACGTTGTAGGAGTTGCTTTGCCATTATTTTTTTTTTTTTGTTTTTTCCCCGCAATGTTATGCCGTCAGTGGTTGCCACTTTGGGTGAATTCTTCTTATGGAGATATGTAAAATAAAAACTGCCAAAGAGGCGAAAAAGAATCGTGTGCATTTTTTAAGTTATTCCAAAATTGTTGTAGCACAAATGATGTGGGATATATTAACGGGGGGTGGGTGAAGAAAAAAAAATTGCAACATTTACACAATTGCGAAGAGGATAATCCCCGCTTAGTACAATTTATTGACACATTTTATTGTATTTTTTTCCTTTTTCCTTATGCTTCCCCTTTTTGTGGTCTTTTTCACACAATTGACGAGCGTGGCGCTAATTATGCAAAGGAACTTTGAAATGCACTTGTCCTGATGAAAGGAAACTTTGCACGTTTGGTTTTCATGACCTACTGGTCACTTGCACGTCCGTTGAGTACTTCCATTTTTTGCAACTATGGGGAATATTTTAAAAATGGCAAATGCTACCCGTGTGAAGAGGATACCTACTCAAGTTACAGAAATTCTGAAAGCTGTTTTCGTTGTCCCCCTGGTAGCTTCAACAATAAGAAGTCTTCAAAATATATTTATGACTGTTCATGTGATGGAGACTTTTATTTAAATTATGTTGGGAATCGATGTGACATGTGCTCCGACTTAGGCAACCGTTTTTATTGCAAAAGGGATTTAACGGAACTGTACGTAGACAATTTGGACGCCTTTTTTAAACACAAGGATGAAATTACTTTTAACTATTTCGATAGGTGTGTTGTGAAAGAAAATAAAATGAATATGTATCCCTTTATGAATAATTTGTATCTATTTTGTAAAAGTCCGAATGTCTGCTTGGATACCTGTGGGAGATGTTCAGAAAATAATGAAGGATTTATGTGTAATAATTGTGTGCAGAATTATGACAAAAATATTTTTTTAAAGTATGCCACCTGTAGGAAGTGCTTCCACGTTATATTTGTCGTCCTCCAGATGGTAGTTTATCTTATCCTGTCATTTGCCTTTTTTTTAGTTCTATTTAAATGCATAAATGTAAGTCTTTATTTTTATCAAGTTGATGTGTACAAAAAGGGGACTATATATTTCCTGCACTACTTTCGCGAATTCATATTTTATTTATCCCTCATTCTGTTGATAAGTTTTTCAAACGATTTGACAGAAACGGAGGGGGAGAATTATACCTTCTATGGGGAAGGGGAGCCAAAAGAGCAACGTCCGCACCTACACAGCGGAGATGCGAACCTTCACTATCTTCTGAACATTTATGTGCACAACGCCTTCTTTGATATGATTAAAATTGTTCATTTGAATTTTCTTCATTTTGTTAAATTGAGCTGTCTCCACGTGAGATCAAATCGCTCGAAGATATACTCCATACAAATTGTCGTCCTAGTTGGAGGGATACTTATTTTTATCTGCTTCACTTTAGTGTGCAATTTGATTTTTTTGTATTTGCGAAATGGGGGACTCAACATGATGGCGGACGGCATGGGGGAGGGAGAAGCTAATTGGGTGAGTAAAGACCAGGTGAAGTGTTGTAAAAAGAACATAGCGAGGAAGTTCGTGGACACCTATTTGTACCCCTTATTTTTGCATAATTTCATTTTTCAAAATTATGTTCACATGACATTTTTTTACGATCACGATGTTGTACAATTTTTCAAGAGATCCATTAGAATATGTTATTATCAATACATGCACATTTTTTTATACGTGGCTAATGCGATGGTTATGTTCATTTTTCTCTCCTCCTACATGTGCATTGGCCTCTTTAACTATAAGAGGTCGTATTACGACACCGCGACTGTATGCTACGACGACTTGCATTTGAGGGCCTCTAAATTTATGAATGTACCAGTGGTTCTGTTTGGCTGCTTTGGGTACTACGTGATCCTTTTTGTGTTTATCTATTCCAAACCTGCAGAAATGAAGCGAAATTATCCGTATAGATATGTTTACGGATTGCACACCTTTTTATGTAAACAGGAAAAGTATTACTACTATATTGTTAAAAATTTGTTCATTAACATTTTGTTTTTGTTTGCGATCCACATGGATGATCACTTGAGTTGTCTCATTTGCTTCTCCTTCGCGCTACTTTTCTTCATTTCCTTTTCTATGTTCGTCAAGCCGTACATCGAGACAGGACAGTATAACATCAAATGGGAGAGCTTCTTTTTTATGTTTTTATTTTTTTTTAACATACAACTGGAGCAGATACGATTAGTGACATACCACATATGGCTGAGAATAATCCTATCCTTTGCTACTCTTTTTATATACACTTTTATATTGCTTTATTTTTTATATTTCATGTTGAAGGATCTGTACGTATATTTTGGCTTCTACCTCATGTACGTGAATACAAAGGATGAAGGGGTAGCGAAAAATGCAAATGCAAGCCCTTCAACCCATCCATCGATGGGTCAGTTTTATTTCTTTTACTATTTGAAAAACTACATGGGGGAGGATCTTTACCTTGCAGATGGAGATCAGAGTAGAATGCAGACGGGGGACGCCGACTCTATGGCCTTGGACAACTACCATGTTGAGGTGAGCAAATAGGGAAAAGACAAACAAAATTGATTACACATAAGAATAGCGTAATGATGAAACGTTCTTTTTTTTTCATTTTCCTGAACCTGATGATATATATACCCCTTTTTTTGCTTTTTTCTTCCGAAGAAGTGCCACGAAGTTGTGCCTCCCAAAGACATGGACTACATTTCTCACCAGTGTGTGCTGATATCCCCATTCATTGCCGAAACGGTTGTTCAATTATTATTCATAACGAAAAATATAAATCACATAATCCTCTTAAGGAGGAACGACTCGAATGTCAAAATATACAACTGCCTGTTTGAGAATGGTTTCCCGATAAAAAGACGGCAAAAAGAAAAAAAAAAAGCAAAATTTGTAAATGCTCAAATGAACAAACATGTAGGAGCTCACGTCATATTCCTTTTTATGACTTTTTTTAAAAGCTCACTGATGATAAAAAAAAAGAAAAGGAAGCAGCGCCATTTTTACTTTTCCAATTTTCCCCCCTTTCAGGCTACGTAGAAATTCAGAAAACACCTATTGACAGGTTTGTCGTCGTGGCGGAGCATATTTACAATAACCTATTCCACCAAAATTATATTCCCTTTAGGACAGAAATGACGCGTCTCTTCACTGATTTAGTGCGAGAACTCAGATGCTTTAAACACGTAAAAAGAAGAAAAACGATAAGTATAAGCACTGCGTGGGGAAAGAGAATAGCCTAACAACATTTAGGAAAATACGATGAAGTGTGTTTGCTTGAACGCGACATAATTTTTTCTGCCCATCACTGCATGAAAAATGGGGCCACTTTAATCGCACTTTCTACCCAAAATGTGCAAAGTGCACATAATGCGCAAAAACCCTTTGCGAAGCGGGTTCACTTAAAGGAAATCCTGTCCTTAGACATAAATACCTGCAACGCTATCTAAGAGGAGTGTGTCGACCTGTAAAAATATATCTGGAAACATGCCAACACTCGAACAGTTCGCAAAACACCTCCATCTTCACCATTTTTGCAGGCATATATTCGAGAGTGCGTTGCCAAGCGAATCAAAGAAAAATACAAAATAGGCGAAATTAACACACAAAAAATTGTGTATGATGAAAATTATGAACAAAAACATATTAGTACATTTCTGTACAGACTCCGCGGGTCTGACCAAAATGTGGACGCAAGACATCAAATGTTTTCGCAGCTATTCCCGGGTAAGGAATAACGCGCACATGTAAATAAAATGGCAAAAAATGCACGTGTTCCAATTGTCCCTCTGCAACATACTACAGGGGGGCACAGAAAAAACTGTGCACTTTAAAGACGGTATGCGAAATATGCACAGTTAATAATTAAAAATGCAAATAATGATTAATGTTTTCACTTTTTTGCAAATGTAGATATAGGCAAAGCTGTACTTAAAGAAGGCGTACAGGAAGAATCACAAAGACAGGGGTGGGAGGGGAAGCCAAGTTTTAGCGGTTAATACATAAATGATCGCAAAATGTGTCATGATAATCCTAGCTGTAATGATGATAAAAATCAACATCATCCTTATGACACACGTGTAGGTAGCCTATGCAGAATGATTAAACAAATCTGTGTAACTTGTCGAGTACGTTTTCATGGGTTTGTAAATTTCCCATTTGGACGCTGGAAAAATGTGCTTGTTTTTTTCGTACCACTTTTTTTCCACTAACTTTCCTGCGTGAGTCTGAAAAGGGGAAAATAAACCAAAATGAAGAATGGGGAGCTTCGTTGTTCACTATTTTTGCACTTGTGTGCGTGTGTTCTAAACAAATGTGTATCACAACACATTTTCTTGTTAGCTGTTCACACTTCTCCTTACGCATATGTACACATTTCTGCACACTTTAGAGGAGTGTATTTTTTTTTTTTTCCACTTACATCAGTCTTTTCCCTTCTTATGTCTGTAACCCCATATAAATTTTCCACCGCGTCAAAAGCAAACAATGGCCCCGTTTTTCCCTGCGCTTTATTTTTAATTAACTCATAAAAGGTCAAATAATTCGGAAGGATAATATCTTCTTTCACAAACATTAGGGTTTCACAAGATGCCGATCTTAGGTGAATAAATTCGTTTTTTAAATTGTCAACACATTTATTTATGAATTGTCCTATCGTCGTTTTTTGCTTTACTGATATTTTTCTCCGATGGCCACTACCGTCGTAGTATGAATAGGTTATTTCAATCGTTTTTTCTTTTTGTTCATTTTCTAGTTTGAAATATAATTCTCTTAACGCTTTTTTTCGAAATTCTATTTCTTCATCTCGTTCCTTGTCTTTTAAAAAGGAAGTGTTTACAGTTGGGTCCTTCATGATTTTCTTGAATGGCTTCTTTCTGTCGTACTTAGCGTGCGTGTCGTTATTTTGCGGGGTTTTGTCTGCGCCATTTTTGTCTGAACCGTTTTTACCTGAATCATGTTTGTTCCTTTTTCCCTCTTTGGACGGGTTATGTTGATGTGGGGGGCTTTCTGAGCCATCGTTTTCTTCTTCTTGCGAAACGCCCCCACCAGAGTGGTTCTTCCCCCCGTTATCACCACTATCCCGATCACCACCACGGTTACTATCACCATCTCCATCTCCTTCACCGTCGTGCTCTTCTTCTTCGTTCTCTTCATCGTTGCTGCAGAAAGACAATTTGAGGTTCTTCTTTTTGCTATCTTTGTCCTCCTTGGCCTTCCCCCTAAGATGGCTGTCCTTCTCCTTGCCATAAATTCCACTCTTGATTTGTTTATACTCGTGAACGGTTCTCAGACCGATTGTTTCGCTGATTAACTTATCATCTTCATTTTTATTTTTAACAAACATTTGATTAAGTTTGGGAGCCATCAACGTTTTCTTTTTAATGTTTTCCTTCTTCTCCAGAAATTCCTTTTCCTTCCTTTTCCTTTCCAAAATGTACTTTTGAACTTTTCCATTTTCACTATTTATTAGGCTGTCAATTAGGTCCGCTGTGTTATCAGGTTTCCTGAAGTTCATCTTGCAAACACGGTCATTCGTCGCGGGAAAAAATTTTTTATTTATGCTTTTCCTTTTTTTTTCTGCCTCTCCCGTTTTTTCTTCTTTATCTGGAAATGCTTCGCATATATGTAAGAATGTTTTCTTTGGTAAGCGGGATAGGGAATGTATCAGAATAGTGGCCTTTTTCCAGTCATTTCTCTGTAATTTTATCGCATGCTATTTTTTATAAATTCGTTCAACCTGTGCTTTGTTCCGTTTGCTATTTTGAGCAGAATGTGTTCTTATACCACGACGTATGGTTAAATGCGTTATACATATCATATGCGTAAGTAGTACATACGTGAACAGGTAATTTTGTGTTTGGTCGCATGAACGTATTTCTTTCTGGAAGGAAACACGCTGAATAGCGTTACTACAAAGGTCAAAATTTTACCATCAAAATGTCAGTTCATTTTTCTTTTTTTTTTTCATTTTAAAATTTTATCTATGTTTTTCCCTACCCTTTATAATTAATGTTACATAAGAAGAAGTTTTTACCTTCATCGTAGCGGCATTTTTGCAGACAAAATGTAGGTGTACATTTCCGTTTTGTGAACATAAAAGGTATGTACAAGCCTTTAAACGAGAATGTCACAATGTTCAGATAAGTTTATGTGCCTATTTAGCTTTACATGTAATACCCATAACGTTCTACATAGATTAAAGGGAAAATTTATGCCAGATAATTTGAAGATTTACGAATTAGAAAAATTTTCCCCTTTTCTTTCATCGGCAAAACGGTTTAGTTGAATTTTTTTTTTGTGAATATGCTTTTCGGCCAATTAACTGAACTTCATTTCGTTGTCGGCTTTCAAAAGATGGCAGCAACTCTGCAACTGAAAAGTTAACCATTTGTAGTGCCTGCTGCTGCATGTATCCACGTATGCATTAGCACAGGCGCCAACAATCAGACGTATGATGAGGGAAAAATAAAAACACAATGATAGGTGTTACAGAACACGAAATAAATATATACGACGAAAAGAAGGCGCATTTTGAATCGCTGAGCGGCTTCTCCAAATCGCTAAAGCATGACTTTAAAGATTTTGTTCACATAATTTGTAAAGTGAAAAATGTGAGGAAGCATGGAAAGTTTTTACTTTTCTGTGACACAAATTCAGGTGGAAAAATAAATAGGAAGGAAAATGTTCTATTTTACAGATATCATGTTTTGAAGTATGATGATGTGGAGGAGGATCCTGCTACAGGGGACAGAAGTTCACGTTGTACAGGTAATAATAAAGGGGGTGCTAACTTTTGCCTGGTAGAAAATAAATTTAATGAGGAAGCCTTATCAGAAGATAAGAACATACAATTGGTAATCAGCAAAGACTTTTACGTGGACGAACACAAATTTGATTCATTTCGAAAATCCTTACTGAAGGAAATTGACACAAAACAGGGGGTCGATAAGGATGTCAGACTTCGTAGCGATTTGTTAGAATATTCAGTTCGACTGTGTAAGGAGTTTTATGCGAATGTGATGAAGAATGAAGATGTGCAGACATCTACCGAGGAAGGGTGCCCCATAGAGGATAACACAACAGATAATATGGGAAATGACCCCCTAGTGTTAGTGAACGAATATATAAAGTATGAAATTTTAAGGAAAGTCATAAAAACGGATACACTGTTGTACATTATAGGATTACCTGCCCTGACGAACACAAATGAGAAGTCCCTATTGGTTTTTTCGGCCTACCTCCTGAAGGTACGGAGAAAATAAAATAAAATAAAACAACACGAGAAAGTTGTACGTATGTATAGTTTCGAATAGAGAGGTGTACCCATCGAGGAGTGTACATATGCTCGTGCATTTTTGTGTGTGTAAGGAGAGTGAAAATAAATAAGAAGAAACAGTTCGTAGTGAATAACCTCTTTTTTGTGTGCATTCCTAGCCGTAAGTGTCCACTTTTTTTTACGCGAGCACGTTCAATTGTGTTACTCCCACGTGCTCATCATCGTTAGAGCAATTAATCAAAGCTGTATATGTGCCCCTTCTTCTCAGGTTAACTACGAATTCTTCAACATCAACGAATTTTTGAAATTATTCGAGGGAGGTTTTTTTTCCATGCTAACCGTGTGCAGGAGTTTGCAAATGAAGGAAAGAGACATTCGGCAGATTTATAACAGTAAGGTGGACACAAGAAGAAGATTCATACGAAACATTATCTACAAAAATAAAAATTATGAAAGTATAAGTAATCAGAAAATGAATAATTTTGAAATTTTCATCTTAAAAATTATCGACATAATTCCCAAACTGTTTGAAATACAACCAAGCGAATTTAACTACAACATGGAAATGAATGATGACAAACGATTACACAGAATTATGCTCTGTGATTTGAACCTAAATCAAATTAATGACCATGTAACAGTAGATACAAGGGAGGGTGGAGATGCTAAAGAACAACTGAAGAAAAAGAAAAAAAAAAAAAAGAAGAAAAAGAAAGATATAACGTCCTATATGAACAATAAGAAGATTCCACAAATACAGTGGATGATTAATCACATACAAATATTGCTGGAAGAAATAGAAAAGGGAAATTCAAAAATTAATGTGTTTAGCGGGGAAGATATCTTTTTTTACATGTCCACGTTGGTGAACAAGTATATAGAAAGCAACGACACCTTTTTCCAAAATTATTTAGAATTTATAGAGCTCTTTATGGAGAAAAATGATAAACTCGTTAGTCAAGAGAACACAGAAAAGGTAAGAAGAAGTATACAAATTTTGAGAGAAAAAAATGTGAACTTGTTTGAAAATTCGAAATGGAGTGATGTCCAGTTTTACAACATTAAGGAGTTCTACGTGGAGAAGTGCACGAACACGAGTGGAAACTTCAACAAGAATTGTAAAAGGCTGGATGAGGAAAATACACCTATGAATTATCACCTTCCTGAAGGTCTAACCTTTGAGAAGGAACAAAATGTAGCGCATGAAATGGGGAGAGACGCCAACATTGATTGTGACCCGAAGTTGACGGACAACACGCCTGATGGAAACAATTTGACGTACGATCACTGCATCCTGGATGTTGGGGGAGGGAAAGGGGATTTGGGCATTCACATTTCGTTAGCCTTTAAAAACATCCTAGTGATCATATTAGACATTAATGTAAATTCACTCTTCAGTTGTTTCATTAAAATTTTTGCAAACAGAATTAAGAACGTGTTAATTATGCACGAATCAATATTAAATTTTGACTTTAAAAAATATAAAATAAATTTGATAGTCGGTTTACATTGCTGTGGAGGGTTAACTGATTATACTTTGAGGACCTGCATGGAAGAAAGAATCCCCTTTCTCACTTGTTCCTGCTGTTACACGAAATATAGACAGTTGAGGAAACACATTTTCGATTTTAACAATGATATGATACTTAATCAAATTAGAAGTTATATTTACAATAGGGAGTATTACGCCCAGGTGGGGTACAGCATTGGCCAGTATTCAGAGGAGAGGGGTGGAACATCAAAAAGGGAGCACACCGATGCGACGAGTGCTACGGAGAATGCTGCAGAGGATTCGACGGGGGATCCTGTTCATCTCAATATCCAGGGTTCCTCCAGAGATGGAAAAATACGCACGGGTGATGATGGGGGTGGAGACATGGACGATGTTGATGATGTTGACCATATTGGTGTTGTTGGCGAATTTGGCGAGTACGACGATTTCTCCCTATGCAGGGAAAAATACGACAAGTACGGGAAAAAAATCATCAGGAGAACCATCCCGAACATATATTCGTTCGTAAATTTGCTGTCCAAATTGTGCGAGAGCGAAAACGCCAGAATTTCATTTAAGTGCATGCACTTCTATAATAACCTGAGATTTCAAATTTTGCAAAAGTTGTTTAGTGCTACGGGAAGTGGGGGCGAACGGGAGGAGTTAAATCTGTCACTGCACTCATTCCCCATGTCCTTTTCGCCAAAGAACATTGTCCTGAAGGGCGTGTTCTCGAATAAAGGGGTGACGCGGTAAAGCGACCAGGCGAAGAAGTGAAGAACCCCCCCGTCAATGAGACAGCTCGCGTCCATTTCTTCACAGATTCCTCTACTGACGAGACAAATTGTGTCCAAAGAAGTTAGAATCGGCCGGAATTTTGTCATTTTTAACTAAAAGTGAATTTTCTTTGCTCCAGTTCCTTTTTGATGTTCTTTAGCTCCTTCAAAGAATAGTGTAAAAGTGAAAAAATATATTGCAGGGATACACAACATGGAAAAGAAATAATTGTAAATTATTATATACGTGACGCATAAATTGTTTGAACTTCTTTCTTTCCCTCTCTTTTTTGTAACATTACATTTAGCAAATCTTCCTGACCATTGGGCACGTTATTAAAGTTGTATAAACTTATAGATATCGACACAATCGCGTAGGTCGATATTGCAACTATGAGATAGAGAGGAATCTGTAAGTTATAAGAAAAAAAAAAAGAAAAAAAAAAAATTCATTTGTTTCTTTTCATCTTTGCTAATTTTTTTTGTAAATTATTTGTTATGGTGAAAAGCATAGATGGAAAGTTTTTCCACATTTTCATAATTTGTCTTGTTAATATATCTTCCTGTTTTTTACGAGTATCCATTTAACGAGGTTGTTTGATTTTTTATATTTATCAAATTTGTATATCCACAAAATTGTAGAAAAGAAAAAAATGATTACGATGGCCTTCCCCCTTGTCAGCATATTGTTTACGTTTTTTTTATTCACAAATTGCCTACTACAATTTGTATTTACAATTTTTGTATTTACTATTTCTGTATTTTTGTCTGTTCCTTCGTTATCCTTGCTGTCATGACCTTTTTGATATGAACAGAACGGAAGAAAGAAAAAATAAAAAAGATAAGAAAGGAAAAAGCCTTAAGCTGTACACTGTAAAAAAGAAAAAGTGTTCATGTGTAATTACACGTTAAGGTGTTTAATCTGGGGATTATTATGACGAGTTAGTACAGAAGAACGTTGTGATGTTGCCGCAAAATGAAATAGGCCTATGCCGCAAGCTACAATTCGTTCATTTGCACGTTTGCCGTTTGCAAAAAGAGTGCTAAATCGATGTATACTTGAGCGCATAAGAAGATACTTACGTGAGTACCTGGATACATTTAACACATAAAAAGTAAGTTTGTCATTCTATTATTAAGGAGCAAAATTGCTACTAAAAATGAATAATCTTTTCCCATTCTTCCTCTTTCTTTTTTTCTGTTTCGAGATATCTTTGTGTGAAAATGAGAAAGTATGTAAAAATGTACATGAAAAAAGGGGCACATCCCTGTATCGCGCAGAAATTTACCCTTTTGAATGCATAATGCCATGCAACGAAAATGGCTTATTCTTCTGAAGCGTTATTATGCAAATGTGTGAATATTTTTTAGCCAGAAAATTCGACAAGAGAAATTAAGAGAAAAGATAATGCTGCAAAGATGATTACATTTTAGCCTTAAATATATCTTCCTTTTTCCTTCATTTTTTTTTTATACTAAAATGTTCGAATGAACACGGAAGAAAAGTGAACTATTTTCGGACACCGAGTTAGAGAACATAGGGGGGAGTGCAGGTTTCTTAGAAAAAGAAAAAATCTAACATTTTTTTTGCACAAAATTGTAGAAATGAATTTTGGCATTTCTAAATGTGACAAGTTAGCAAATCGGATCGTGCCACTAAGTATATGCATGCACGCATATAATACTATTCATGGGTGAAAAACATAAAACGCAGGCGCGTACAATTTTTAGGCGACATTATCACGAGATCTTCAAGATCACCAGCGACGATTAATGGCCGCCCATCAAACACAAACCTCGCGGGGGAGGTAGCGGAAAAATGAACACGCCTGTCTGTATATGCACGTATCCACACAGTCGTTGCAGAGAAGAGGAGCATCTAACCCTTTCTTTATAGGGCACACCTGAATTAGCACGATAATATACCCCTCAATATTTTGGCCGTCTCAGCTATTAAAGGAATTAAAAACCATTCCGCCACCAAACGTCGAATGTACTGGAAGGAAATTATGCCCTTCAAAATCAAGCACACTACACACATCGTAGTGCTTCTACACATGAGATTTTTCTACATTGATAATTTATTTTTCCCCTTTCTTAGTAAATGAGGCTGAATTTATCGACCCGGATATTATTTGTGAAAGGGACTACAACACGCCATGTCCAAATGTTAAGGAAAATCTTGCCATTTTTTTCTTTCTTTTTTTCATTCTGTTATATTTTCCGATGAATTAAGGAAAAACTCTCTCATGTTAACACATTTAGGATTATAACTATATCGGATCCGTTCACCAAATTGACGAAGATATATGTGCACCGTCTTCCACCTATGACGGTTAAAGCTGAGGAGAAGTTACTCATATGCCCACTTCAGCTTCTGCTATTTTCCCTGTTCACCCTGTTTAGGAATAACTTTTTTTTATTTTTTTTCCCTGTCTTCCTGCTCATTAGGCCCATGTGTTGGAGAGCCGCTTAACATAAAAGATATGACAGAGAAGACAAAAGAAACGTGGTCTAAAAAATGCCAAACATTTTGGCCGTGCAGAAAATGTGTGAGGAATTTTACGTCCTATTGTCCAGGTAGTGTATTAAAAGGGGGAGAAACGATAAAAAATAAAAAACCAAAAAAAAAGGCACGAATAAGAGTTTCTTTTTCTCCATCTTGTAAATATCACAAGTATGCAATGGCATACACATGCATGTCTATCCACGTGTTTATATTTGTGCAAATTATCCAAATTATCTATTTTTTTTAAGCAAAATGGGAGAAAGTTAAAGGCACTTTGCGATCGTGCGAACCGTCTCTGCTATATCATGGGCCCTGTAAATTTCAAGTGAATTTTTCTGGCCATACTATTCAAATGTTGGAGGAGTGGAGCTTAAAATGTCACGCTTGGTGGTAATTCCACAGCGGACAACACGAATGATTAGCAAGATGCCATCACGTCGAAATATGGATGGAGTGAATTCCTTTCGTTGTTCACATCGGAAGGCAATCCCCTTAACGTAGAAGTTCATTATTCTCATTTCTGCGTTTATTTTTTCATTAATCATTTCACCGTTTTAAAAAGGGCCTGCGATCATGTAAATGTGCTTGACGACTGCCCAGACGGCGACATGCCCATTACTGCTGCCGCGACGAGGTTAGTTTGAGTCATATTACCAGGGGTATATAACATCAAGCACGTTGCGTATTATATATTTTTCAAATACTTGCATCATTACAGGTGGAGACTGAAGAAGAATTATCAATGAAGAATTCTTTTTCATATTTTTCCTTCTTCCAGTTG